AGCACGACGTGGTCAGCTCCATCAGAAGAGGCAACATTCCTGCTGCCTGTGGGTCTCCTCAGCCAGCCAGTCTGCTCTCTGTCCCCACCCACAGTGACCTGGGATCTTATTATACTTCTCCATCATTCAGACAGTGCTGTTAGACCCTGAATACTAGAGGCTTAACTCAATGCAATTTCAACACAGGCCACTGAGGGTTTCTATTGCTGCGATTAAAACATCATGACCAAAAGCAACGTGGGGAGGAAAGGGTTTATTCAGCTTACAGTTCCCCAGCACAGGTCCATCCCTGAAGGAAGTCAGGACAGGAACTCAAACAGGGCAGGAACCTGGAGGCAGGAGCTATGTGGAGGCCATGGAAGGGTGCAGCTTACTGGCTTGAACCCCAAGATTTGCCCAGCCTAATTTTTATCTGCCCCAGGACCACCTACTCAGGGGTGCCACCACCCACAATAGGCTTCCCCCCCCACATCAATCACTAAAGTAGAAAATGCATAATAAGCTTGCCCGTAGGCCAATCTGGTGGGGGCACTGTTTTTTTTTTTTTTCAGTTGAGATCTTCTCAAATGACTCCAGCTTGTGTCAAGTTGACTTCAAGCTAGCCAGCACAGAAATTTTCTATACTGGCTATTTTTATTTCTGTTCTATTTTATTTCTATTTTTATTCCCTTTAGAGCAATATTTCCCCAATAGTTAGCTAAATCTAAAGATGCAGAGTTAGATTTCAAGGGGTTGATACGTCTTCAAGGACTGATTTTTTTCCATGTGACTAGGCTACAGAACTACGTGTACTCTTATACACGTGCATGCCTATAGGGCAGCGGCTTGGGCTTGTGAGACGGGAGGCCACCGTCAGCATGCCATCTCTTCTACATGAACTGTTTTCTGCTGAGAATGTAGGTTATCAGTGTCGCAATACAGACCCAGGCTCCCAGCATATTCATAACCTCGCTTCTGAGGCTCAAAGTGCTGCAGACAATTAGATCCGAGAGCTCCATCTTCCCGCTTCTTTTGTGCTTCCTTTTCACCTTCCGTCGGTACCTTAAATTCTTCACCAGGCTCTTCTGCAAAGTATGTTTTTGTCATTGAATATATTCTTGGGAACCTCACAGTCTATCATCGGGATCCAGGTCCTCACATGCCTTGCCTGGCTGAATCAGAAACGACTTCATTCTAGCGATGCTCCAGGGATTCCGTTTGGTTTTGAATTCCTAGTGGCCATGGAGTCAAAGAGGATGAGAATGCTGTCAGCACACAGGCAAATGCTGAATGACGCCATGCACTGAATAGTGAAGGGAGTTCCAGGACAACAAATTTCTTCCAGTACAAGAAAGTACTGAACAAGAAAGCTCTGTGTTCGCTGTCTCTCCATGCCGGACCAATAAGCCAGAGAGGTGGGGGTCGGGTGGGGGCAACAACAGGTAACAAGAGTCACCTAAAGTTATTACAGGAGGTTAAAAATTAAATCAATTTATGGCCTTGATCATTAAAGCTTCAAATTGGGAGTCTGTGTCAGATGGGTGTTAATGATTCCAAGTAGCAGCTGTGTGTAGAACAAGACTTCTCAGTCTCTCTTCTTAGTGTAAAATTTTCTAGCCTTTCTCTGCAGAAGGTGCTTTCTTAGATCTCCAACAGTGCAGCCTAACAGACATAACCTGCTCTACACTGCTGTAAATAGTGTTTCATCTCAGGCCACTCACCATGTTTTCCCAGCTATTGGGCAGGTCCCTGACCTAACACTGTGTGTATCCACACCTCCAATGTCTCTGCACGAAAATAGTGCCATGATTTTTAAAAATCCTTTGAGCATTTTATACAGTATTTCTTTTAACTATACTCTATCCGACCCCCAACTCCTTCCAGATCCTTCCCCACTTCCCTACCCATCTGATTTCCTGTTCATGCCTGATACTGTCTGATCTATGCCAAGGGTTTCTCAACATGCCTTTTTGAGATTTTTTTTCCACCTCTGCCCACCTTTGGGACTAATAATTTGGTAACCAGGGGACTTCCCAAGAAAGTGTAGAGAATGGGCACATTGCTCATGTGATGTGAACCTGTTGCATTGTGAAAATGATGTATGTGGAACACCCACTACTGTCATGGCCTATGGTACACACCCAACAGACTTCTTATTTTTATTATGAATTTTATTTATTGGTATGAGTGTCTTAACTTCTTTACCAGATTTGTGTTCTCTACTGTGCTTAACCCCTAGCAATTAGTTACTCATTTAGGGGATTCACTACATTATTATGTATAGTATATTACTGTAATCAATAACTGAAAGATGTATAGGCCAATAGACCAGCAGTAATTTGTGTAATTTAACAATACCCACAAAAGGGCATTCCTATCTGTGGCAGAGGCTGTTGGTCAACCATGATACTGTGATACTGACATAGTTCTATCTTGTTACATTGGGCCAGGCGTGGGCCCTGACTGCTCCACTCCAATTCTAGAGACCAACTCTTGTTAGAACTTGCCACTAAAGCCCTTCTGGAGTGCGCATGCTTACAGACCCTTCTGGAAAACTCATTCTACGCTAGACAGAGGGAAGTTGGCTTTGGTCCATGATGCAACTTTCATGTGTTCATGAAGAATTTCTTCTGTACAATATAAGCAGACATATAGTAAAGAGGAAGTGCATTCCTGAAAAAGCCAACTGTCTCTACATCGACATATTTGGCCACATACTCCTCTAGATGTCGCTTCTTCTAACAATGTGGTGATAATAGAAGCCACTGTCTAATGGATCTTGATATGAAACTGTGGAAATGTCTGTCTTACAGCGTGTGTGTGTGTGTGTGTGTGTGTGTGTGTGTGTGTGTGTGTGTGTGTATGCTCACACACGCGCATGTGTGTTTCTCCATGGAAACTCTTCTGAGTTGGCCTTGCTTCTCCCTCACTCCACTGTGGGGGACTCTGAGCCTGAGACAGGAAGCACCTTTCCCCACAGAGCATCTAGGCAATCTGTGGCATCCTCACTTTCCCTGGTACTAGCTACTCTGCAGCTATCAACAGCAAATGTTTGAAGTTTTTTTTTTTTTTTTTTTTTTGAGGAAGGACCATGAACACAGACATGTGGAAGAGCCTGATTAGATGGATCATGTGCTCTAGCTGACCCCTCGACCAAAGCCAACATGCTCAGTTCAGGATTCCATTTGACAATGATGAGGAGCAAGAAGAGCCCCAGGCCACTTGGGTTGTGGTCTACTTAGCCACCTAGGAATGCAATCCTCCTGAACTATCACAGACCAGCTCCCAGATCTGCTCCAGGGTAGCAAAAAGAATACCTCAGAGTAGAGAGGGCTTAGGAAAAATTCTTATCTATCCAAGGGCCAGACTGTTTCTACCTGATGGGAAAATAAGGAAATACACACACTTTCTGATGGTAACACTCTCTTTTACTTCACCATATAACACTTTACACAGTTCCTTCACACTCTCATACAGCTCTTAACACAGTTTCCATACGTAGCAGCAGCTCTTTCACACAGCTTTCTCTGGTACGCTCACTCACACACATAGACTTCTTCTACATCATTCATTCACTCTTAGCTCATTCACTGTCATTCATTCATTCTCTCACATTTCTCTCACCTTCTCTAACGCTTCTTCTTCTTCATCTCTCACTCAGCACACATACACTTCACTCACATTCTCCATAGCTTCCTTCTCTACATTGCCTCTGCTCCTCCCATAGCCAAACTCTGGACAATTAATTATATGTTACATTGTCAGGGGTCCGACCCAATCTCATAACACATGATGAATCACACAGTTTTTCTTAGACTAGGAAGGTCGCTCTGATCAGCCAGTCATGCTGACCAGGCAATCATGCATGGCCAAGCATGTAGCCCTTTCCCAGACAGAGAATGACATTGAAATTCAGGACTTAACAATAATGGTAGCAGGCTGAACCTTGAGTCATCAGGGTACATGTAGAAAGAAAATTATTACAGGGAGTTATGTATATCAAAGTTGTTTCAGTTTTGACCTTGAATCATCAACAAACAACACTTGGGGTCTTGTCTTTATGTATTTTCTGCAGGGGCAGCTTAGTCTGTTTTGAATTTGTTCTGAAGTCTAAAATTAACTGTTTTTGTGACCGAGAATACTGTTACTTTCCTGCATCAGTAAAGAACAATATTCTAATATTATTTCTATACCTCAGAATTATACAGCTTAAGCATAAATCATCATCCTGACCATCCACAGATAAATATGTGCCCGAAGATGTAAAACATACTAGCAATGGGCTGTGGAAGGAACCCCATAGCTGTTCTTTTTAGGGAGGTATAGTGGTGTCACATGAGAAAATTACAGACAGAAAACAACCAGTTTCCACAGCCAGTGACCCTACGGCCTTGCCAGGTGAGGCTCCCCAACAGGAAGTTATATATCTGGTGGGTCAACTTGTCAAACACTAGCTGTCACCTGCTATATACTCCCAAGGCCCTCAGCACCAAACAAGAATAGGAAGCTTGAGCAGAGAAATGCAGCTGTAGTGTTTCTGTACACATGACTGTTAAAGCTCCCAAAGCCCGATGATTTCTGGGAGGGGCAGAGGTTCTTAGCTACCTTCAGCACTGATGGAACAAGTAGGTAAAAAGGGCTTGTCTACTAGAGAGCACAGCCTGAGGGAACCGGTGTTTGGCATCCTCCTCACTGTTGCCTGGAGGCACATCTGGAGGCTAGTCTTCGGTTTGCAGGTTCCCAAAATTATAAATGCTGCATGTGCTAATGAACGTGTCTACGATAGTTTGCTGAATGGCCTCCAACTAGAGACTTTCTTCCTCAAAAGGTAATGTGGGAAGACTATACATTTGAGATGTACTTTGTGTTGCTGATGTACAATCTGTACATTCAAAGTTTGTCCACTCGAAAGAAGAAAGTCTCTCATTTTTAAATATTAGACATATGTCTGTTCTGACGACATTGTGCCCTGGTTTATCATGATAAACTAACAGCCATGCTTTCCTTTTTACACAAACTAGTGCCTTCGGATGCCCATACTCAGACATGAACTTGAAGAGGGAAGCGACACTTCAAGACCGCCTGAGAGACCAAACAGGGACACATCTGGAATCAGAGTCTTCACATTCCAAATCAGAAAACCTCCGTGATTTGAATTTCAATGGAAAATGCGAAAAGATAAGCAGTCAGCCCAGGTATGAAACTTTGGAACCTTGAACCGGAAAGTCACCATATGGAATTCTAATAGAATGGATTTATTACTAGTATTAGTTCCCTACATTTCACCAAGGTAATTCTTCTGGATAATGTCATATTTAGTACCTCACAGAGTTAACTTGTTCCTCCATCAAACTATTTGAATAGGTCTCTTTTCTGAATGTACAGATTGTCCGTAAGCAACAGAAAGTACATCTCAAATGTATAGTCCTAAAAGATTCCCTTTTCTCTTGCAAACATTTTTGTTCTCTGGACTCATTTCATTAGTGAAGTTTTTGGCATGAGCTGAGAATTCATACCCCTGGAGTCACATTAAACGGTGCCCTTGGATTAGTTACTTGTCTGTCATCTTTAATTCACACATGCCTGGGATATGAGTTCTGACTCTCTTTACTTTCTAATCTAACTCAGCGGCGGCAGCGGCGGCAACACGTTAACTTTCCTAAATATAAATTTACAGTTTTCTGTAGCACTTTTCATTTTTTATTTCTGTAGTTGTTTTCTGAGAAGCTTCAGATACAACCTTATTTGACTCTTTTTTTTTTAAACTCAAGCAAGCAATCTAAATAATATCTTTTCTTCAGAGTACCCCATCCTCCCTGCTAGGGATTGCAAACACAGAAAAGAACAAACATAAGTGTGTCACTGGGAGTCAGACAAATACTGAGCTGAAGGAGGTTCTAGAGCAGAGTTTCTAAACTTGGGGTCGTGTCGAACAACCCTTCCAGGGGGGTTGCATATATATGTGTATATATATACATATATGTATATATGTATATACATATGAACATATGAATATATTATGACTCAGACTCATAATAGCAACAAAATTATAGTTATAAGGTAGTAAGGAAAATAATTTTATGGTTGGGAGTCATGACAACATGAAGAACTGTATTAAAGGGTCACAGAATTAGGAAGGTTGAGAACCACTGTTCTAGAGAAAAGTGGTAACCAAGTGTTTTCCAAACCCCACTTTAGGCCATGAGACCCCACTTTATCATCTGTGATTGACAGAAGAGTCTATTCCTTGTCTCAGACTTCAGAATCACACTCTTTCTGGGATTTATCACATGGGTGGAGTTCCCTTAGAACACCTGGGCCCATTCACACCCCGAGTCCCAGGGTTACGTATGTTCAGTGGAAGAACTGGGCTCAGTGGACACACTGTCACACATGTGTGGCATGCTGGACAATAGGTCTGTCCTATTTTCATTCCAGTGGCTCAGAACATGTGGAGGACATTTCATTTTTGTTACATAGCTGTTTGGATTTCGATGGCTCAGCACACAACTGCAACTCAGCCTCCTCTTCGTTGCATGGTTCCTCCGCATGCACACGCAGGCCTCTATTTTTGTAGCTGTGTCTTGCGTTTTTATTACCTACTGCACGCCCACTCCTCTGTTGACACTTCACAAGGTCTGGTTGTTCTTTCTGCTTGTTCACACCCACACTGTTTACAACTCTGAGTAGTTGAGAGCATGTGTGTTCCTTCTTGTTCTTGATGGAAGGAGGCTTTCCCCCTTCTTCTTTTCTTTTTTAAACTATTTTCTCTGAGAACGAGGCTTATTTATTCTGAAGTCATAGAGACGAGTGCACTCATGTGCTTTCTTTCTTTTTGCTACATTCCGCTGTGTTTTTCCCTAAGTGAAAGTTCAGCCGATCACTTCTGTAAATATTTTAGATTTTCATCTCCAATGTCACAAATCACCGAGACTAAGCAGGTCTCTGAACTGCGTTTAGAAACTTTTGTATCATCTCAGAGGTTAGCTAAACCAATTTTCCCCAGCAAACATGGGATCTTATCACCCCATCTCAAACTTCTCATTACTATTTCTGAGGGGCTTCTCACTTAAGTATACCAGGTAGAATAGTTAGTACAGAGAGAAAGAACAGCTAATGACACCATGCAAAATCTCAAGTGACCCTATTGTATCAAACCCTGGTTTGTGTACACTGGGAGCTATGTAAGTCGCAGCAGGAAGTGGGCTTGTCGCACGGTGCCTACCCTGAACCATTCCATTGCTCTCAGCTTTCAAGTCCAAAGCCGTCCTTTAAAGTCAGGCATTCATCAGAAGAGCACTTGCATTCACAGAACTGGCTCCACGGTCACACCCACTCCCATCTCTGATCCTGTTCATGGTTGTGGCATGCCTGCTTACTAGACTGGAAGAAAGAGAAAGCAAAACTGGCACTGGGTGATCTGTGGGCTGATTGCGAGCAGATCAACTACAGTTCATCTCCCTTCCCTTTCTCCCGGTAGTCCCTCCTTGGGGCTGCTGTGGCTCTAACCCAGATTATTGAAATCACAAGATCAAATGCAGATGGAGGGGAGCATTTGACTTCTATGTTTTTTCTCTGTCCGAGTTTTACACAGGATTCTGTCATTTCTTATGCAAACAAACTCTGTCCTGTTAGCATCTCTAGACTTCTTACACTTCAAATGGAAGTACAGCATTGCCTCATATATATTAGCCATACACTCATATATATGAGCATGTATATTGTATATTAATTATTATATTAATCTTGGCAGTGAGGTCACTAGTAGTATATTTATGACTCTATTACTTTCCTCAGTAATAGAAAGCCTATTTATGGTCATTTTTTTTAATCTATTAAAGGGTCACATTTTAGAACCAAGTAGGATATATAAGCCCAATGTCTGTAAGACTGACCTGTGAAAACTCTCATATTCAAGTTGTGTTTACCTTTAAAACTCAGACTCACCCTATCATAAGAGGTAGCAACTATTGAAAGTACATTTTTAGTTTTTAATGAAATGTATTCTCTTATTTTAGTTTAAAGAAATGTTTATATTCTTCATTCTTGTGTTGCTAGAGTAAGCAATGGTGCATTCACGGTGCATTGAGTGGAGACAGATTGCCTGTTTTCCCTGAGGTGTGTCCTGCATGGACAGAAGCACCCCTAATACCCCTAACTGTTTAGAACTTCTTATAGCTTTGTGCTTTAGGCAGCATAGAGATTATTGTCACCACAGTTTGCTGTTTGTAACAAGGACGCTGTATTTAGGAAGTGGAGACCTCTTGGCTATTGCTCTGGGACCCAAACCTAAGTCACCTGATTGCAGCCAGCTTATTTCTGTCTAATGAACTAAAAACATAGGACATATCAACAATTCCTGTTGTCTTGGTATTAAAATCACCCACTTCCTTTGGGCTAAGCAATTCATGTCTTATCATTTTGTTAATTTTATCATATCATTATGAAAGCCCTGGCTTTGGTATTTTTCTTATTCTGATTTTGTTGCATTGATAACTGAAGATTCAGAAAGTTTAGGCAAAAGTGTCCAAAAATGGCACAGACAATCCAGTAGAGAGGTTGGAGTTTCAATACAGAAATGCTTAATTTCAGATCCTGAGCATGTTCAATTACATTCAGCCCAAAGAAGGAAAGACAGCGTGAGGCTTTTAGAAGGCCTAGCTGAGTATACTTTGTCCATTTATACTCTGCTATGAGTTTTAGGGTCATATATGATACAAACATTTTTTACTGAATAAAAATAAAATTCCTCAGGGGAGAGTCCTACCTTGTGTCCCTTCAGGTGCTTCCGCTTATCTGTAGTGCATATAATACTAAAGTCCCCACCTTGAACACATTTCACCATAATATACTAAAGGAAGGACAGTAAAATGCGAACCGGTAAATGTCTTCATGGTAAACATAATTCCTATGGAATGCAGCTGCCCCTGCATTTTCTGCTATCTCTTTATCTCAAGTCTGAGGAGAGCATTCTTCAGGTTTTTCTTACCCAAGTGTTCTTTCAAAACTCCTTTACCTCCCCAAAGCAATGTTCACTAAAGCATTAAATTTGCACAGTTGACAGCTCCACCAGACACCAAAATTCCTATCATTTTCAGTCAGTGCGACTAATTTTTTTTTAATTTAAGAAGCTAAGAAAATGCCACATTGCTTTCCCCAATGCCTGACATTCATACATCTATATGCTCCTTGAAGGTCTGTGTTGATAATAAAAATTAGCTGGGGAAATTGCGATAATCAGAGCAAACAGCACATGATGGAATTGTCTCCTAATGACTGTGATAATAAATCGCGCTGCCATGAAACAACTAGTTCCTTTCCACCTCTCAAATCAGCTGTAACATAAAATAACCTTCTATGGGGCCATTCTCCAAAATATAACAGTTAGTTTTTCCACATATTAAACTTCTGTGGTAGTCAGTAGATTTTCTTTAATGCATCAGACGTCCTTTTTGCTTGGGATCAGTTGTGGGTGTTCCCATCCACCCCTGTCACCGTCAGCCACAGTGTTATCTGTATTCTAGCAGTGTGTGTCTGCTCCTGCCCTCTGCTCCACGTTGCCTCTCGTCCACAGCTCCTCCCTTGCCCATGGCTCAGCTTTCTCTGCACCTTTTTTGGGCAGTTCCAGCCAACATAAGGAGAGGAGGTTGTGTTCTATGCTTCTACGTTTCTGGCACCTAGAATACTGTCCGGTGCTTAGTAGGCACTCGGCCAGTGAAGTAGACTTGAACACCCAATGTGTGCCTGAGGCTTGGTGGCCTTGGGAGACAGAGTCAAGGAAAAGGCAGCTCCTCTCTTGCCTTTAGCCCTCCACTTTACATTATAAGATTTTTAGTGCATCTAAGTTCACTCAGCCAGTGACTGACATTCATGCTCCTCCCAGAGGCCCCACTGCTTTAAAAATGGATGCAAATGCGAGAGCTCATATATTACATTTTGAATTAAGGCATATGTAGATAGAGACAAATGTTGATGAAGCCACATCCTGTGGCTTAGCCTGGCACATCGCGAAGACCCTTGAAGTCATGATTCTGTATCTTCTTTCCTACTTTTATACAATTTGCTGACTTTAAAACCTTACCATTGGCCTAGTTACAGTCCTCATTTAACAATCGTCTTGGGACCAGTAGGAACTTAGATCTTCACTTACTTGGTTGGAGAGAAAATTCAGCATCTGTAACTAAATTAAGCCCCTTAATCAAGAAATCCATGATCGCTAACTTCTTCAATATAAGAATGAGGAGACCAAAGCGAATAACCATGTTCCCCCATTAACACAGCACAGAGGTGGCGACTCTGTGCTGTGTGACGTCCTCTGGTCCCTCTATTGCTATCCCATACCACAACCCACTCAGTGCTAAAACGCCATCAGAACTAAATCAGGATATATCCTAGAGGTGGCTCAGGAACACTTACCTTGCCGAATGTGGGACCCTGACCACAGCTAGATCCCGAAATTAAAGCTATCCATCCATTCCCTCAGCATTTATCCCTTCAGCAAACATCTGGGCTGGCTCCATTCAAACTTTAGTGATACAGCTGCGAACAAAATTGCCAGAGATTTATGTTATTATCCTTGTTAGTAATAAGAAAATTACCCTCACTGGTCTGTGGCAAGACAGGGCCAGAATTAAGGTAATGGGTTCTAGTGGCTGTGGACTGGAGAGTGGGTGTGTTGGTGATCTTTGCTGCCAAGAGGCAGGTGAGTGCAGTTGCTTAGGGAACAGTCACACGGGATAAAAGAAAGGACAATGCCTGCAACATGCTCAGCAGCTCCCTACAGCAGAGTCCCCAAGACCATGGGTAGTTGGGAGACACTAAGGAAGGAGGAAACATAAGATCCTGCTGAATTTGCAGGTCAAAAATGAAATAAGCCATCAGCTGGGATGCTATGGAAGGATTCAAGTCCCAGGGTCCTGGTCCTTCAGCACCTAGTGGGCGGCCGTGTTGTTCTTCAGCAAGCCTTAGTCCTGCTGAATGTTACACAGTTCCCAGTGTTGGTCAGTGAGATCCTGAAAGAGACCTTTCCCGGGATGATTCTCATCAAGCAGTTTCCAATTTATTGTGAATCTCTGGATTGCTGGTGCCCTGCCTCAGCCAGGGCTCTTAGTGATTAAGTTCTACAGGACACCGTGTTCTAAGGCCTGCATGCTTCCTCCTGTGAAGCAGATATTAGTGTTCCTGGACCCCCAAAAAACATAACCACTGCCTGAGCTCCAGCAGGCATTTCTTCTCACCTTTATACCCAATCAGGCTTTTAAATAATCTTTTATCACTCGTTTGCATAGTAAACCAGGGATGGTTAACATGATTTTCTCATTATAAAATCATTACTTGCTTACTAGAAGAAAATTAGAAAATATAGATGAGTAAAATTAAAATGTACCAGCTTGGAGAGATGGCTCAGCATTTAATAGCACTGGCTGCTCCAAAGGATCTGGGTTCAGTTCTACCACTCATATGATGACTCACAACTGTCCATGACTATAGCTGATACCCCTGTTCTCCACGGGAAGCAGGCACACACAGTTGCCAGAACATGCATGTGGGCAAAACACCTATACACATAAAATGTAAATAAATAGAACATAAAAACATTAATAGTATACAGACCATTTCTATCCAGCCTCCTAACTGGTGCAGACTAAAGAGAATTATTAAGAGTCAAACATTTCTCGTTCCTATTCTGTTCTTCATCTCTGCAAACTGAAGCCACTTCTGCTAACATCCTTACCTCCCCAGTGTCTACATCTTCATACAAATACATAGGTGAATCCTCCCTCTTTACAAAATTCACATTAAGTGGTTTTAATCTGAAACAATTCATATATTTAAGAATACATGCTGGGCAGTGGTGGCACACGCCTTTAATCCCAGCACTTGGGAGGCAGAACCAGGTGGATCGCTGTGAGTTCGAGGCCAGCCTGGTCTACAGAGCAAGATCAAGAACAGGCACCAAAACTACACAGAGAAACCCTGTCTCAGAAGAAAAAAAATAGAAAGAACACATTATGGGAGACCTGAGGATTTAGCTAAGTCAGCAAAGTGCCTGCTGCACATGTGTGAAGACCTGAGTATAGATGTCCACCACCTACGTTAAAATCTAGGGTAACAGTATACCTGTAACCCCAGCTCTGGGCATGTGGAGCCTGGTGGATCCTCATCACTCACTGGTCAGTCAGCCTAGATGTTCTGTGAACTGCAGGATCTCTCCAGTGGGAAACTTTGTTGCTAAATAAATAAATAAATAAATAAATAAATAAATAAATAAATGGGAGAATAACTGAAGATGTTCAATGTCAACCTCTGGCCTTCAAACACAAGTGCTCCCTCATGAACATATTCACACAACATCAACAACAGTACACACACACACACACACACACACACACACACACACACACACCCCAAAAGATGCATCAGAAATACTCTAGTAAATAAAAATAAATGTATCATTTTTAACAGCTGCATCATATTCTGTATGTGGATGTATATTGTCCATTCAACTTATTCCTCTGCTGGCAGGTACTTTATCATGTTTTCCTTATGCAAATGTACCACAGAGAAATGAAATAAGCCATCAGCTGGGGTGCTATGTGTAGGTCCTCATGCCCTGGCACATGAGAAGCCTTTTGTTGAGAGGAACCATCTTGACTGAATTCAATCCGAGGGCAGAAATGTCTAAAAGAATATTGCATAGTCTTGGAGAATTTACCTGAAAATAAGTGTCAGACATGTGTGTTATACACATTCTGACTTTATAGGCTGCTTTCTTTACTTCTAGAACAATGGTCAGCCAACATTTTCTCTACAGAACCAGATACTAAATATGCGCTACCACTGTCAACTCAGCCACTGTCATGAAAGTAGCCACAGACAGGAACTATGCCTGTGTTACTGGGAAATTCTGTGTACCAGAACATGGTAAAAATTGACTGGTGGACCATTGATTTCCAGCTCCTATCCTAAAACTAAGCACAGTATAGGCATTTCAGCCAAAGTGTTTGACATGTTCTCTCAGGTCCCCCAAAAGGCCTCTTCTATCAATAAAGGAGCAGTAGGCATCATGCCTCTTGGAGATGACCTGTGGTACAGAAGAAAGCCTACATTTACTGTCCAAAGACTTGACATTGTGTCTTAGTTGCACTGTTGTCTCTGTGTGTCTAAGAAGGGGCAAGATGTCTGGTGTTTTTGAGCCTCAGTTTTCATTTTTATAAGTCTTGCATATTGTTGTGAGAATAAGGCGAAGTGAAGTGAGAGCCTGGGAGCCCTTATGCACCTGGATTTCTCAGTGTCCGAACTGTTTACAGGGTTTGGCTTGGGTATCTCCTCAATGATGTAACCATTTGAAATTGGGACTTAATGGAAAGATAGCCTTGATTAATTCCAATGACTTGCATTTAAAAAAATGCCACCAGATACATTTATTTTAAAATAATTTTCTAAAATCCCACCAACATCATGTAAAGCAGACAAGCTTCTATTTTTTAATCTTGTGTGATAGATCTACCAGCATAGACTGCAGAGGGATGTTGTCAGGGCGTTTCAAATCAACTCACAATGCCATCAAATTTATAAAATTGAGAGGGAAATCCCCAATGATATCCAAAAACAGGTGGGCAGCACTAAAATTGTTCATTTCCCCCAGCTTCTGTACAAAATGTCTGTGCTGTGACATTGAGCACAGAAGTTGGTGACACCCAGCATCCCACATTGACCATTGGAAACTCACTACTTAAGCTTAAATCCTCTCTCTATAGTTCGCACTCTTTGCTAGAAAAATGCAAATGAATCCTGAAGACACATAGAGATACACAGGGAATCTAAAAAAAGTTAAATGCACTGAATTGCTAAAACATTGCACAGATTGTATGAAGATCAATAGTGTATAGCGGCCTTGATAGTGATTTAAAAAATATATTGTTTAACTATTTGCACAAACCAACCCAGTTAGGCATGTTGTATGTTGCACGTCACAGACTGAACACTGAAACTCAAGTGTTTAAAGATTCAGTCATTCTCACAGAGTTAGGAACTGAGTGCTAGGCATCGAGTCAGGGGTTCCTGCACCCTGTTTCTGCTCTTTGCTTGGCATCACCCACTACCGTGCACTGTAGCAGAAGGTCCAAAGATGGGGTCACAATTCAAACTTTTTCTTGCTCTTTTGATCAAAAAAAGGAAGATACCTATCTAAAGAGTAGATGTACTTCTGCTGTGATAAAAACGATAGATAAAAATGTGTCAGTTTATCTATAAGCAATTCTGATTTTGAGGTAGAGTTTGGGTAGTGGAGTCATTTCCTCTCCCCATTCTACCATGACCAGCTCACAGGCCTGTCAGTGGGGATAAAATGAAAACCATTAACTGCACTAAGAAAACACACACAAAGCACATTATTATATGTTTATTAAACTCATAAATACATGCAGATAAATGAATGATCTCAAGTTCTGCTTACCTAGAATTAATTAGTAGCTAATTAGCAACCCTGGAGAAGTTTCATTTGAAAAACTTCAGTCTTTGCTATGAAGCAGGAATCTCGATTTTTAATGAAGTCCTGTGATGAAAGAGTTACAAAATTAGCCCTCACTGTATTCTGCAACATTGCAAAAGTTAATTAATTCTCTGACATTCAGCAATGCAACTAAATTACTTTATACACTTGTTTGAGCTCAGTGTCTATAATCTTCTGGCTGAAATAATAAGTGCCCAAATTGGGAATAGTGCATATTATTTACCCACCTACCACCCTGTTACCCACTGTCCCAGATGGCTCCTCAAGCCAGAAGAGATCATTCTCTGGGGGTGAATGGAGGGAAAGACTTTTAAGGTTCAGTTTTCAAAGTCAGGGTTTCTGAACAAGAGTTCCTATTTTCTTTATTTCTTAAACTGAAGAAACATTCTAATGAGACTGTGCAGCGAAACACCTACTAATTCGCTGTCATTTACTCCGCTGGTTTCTATTTAAATTTGTGCTGGTATCGTGATTTATTCTTACATCACAGGATAATGAATCTAGATTTTATTTCTGTTCTTTGCCAGACTTGTACAGCAGGCAAAGTGTTTGAAAATCAAAGGAAAAGAAGATATTGACTTGGATAATCCCTTCAGAGGTAAAATAAATAAATAAATGAATAAACCAACAACACAAAAACAAAAACCCAACACTAGCAAAAGCACAGAACTTACTGGCTTTGGCTCTTCGTTGTGGCATTTGTCTTCTCTGTCTGTTTGGCTTCCTCGTTCTGGTAGGAGAACCTAACCCGAAGTCAAGAGACTCTGAGATTCATGGTGTGCTTCCCACCATGCGAATAACAAGTGCTGTTACTGCAAATCCCCTATCTTAGTTTTCTCATTTTTAAAGGTGAAAAGGTACCTGCCATCTCTGTACTCTTCTTTCTGTCAGAAAAGATCCAGTCTTGTGGAAGTCAGTGTTTCTGGTGTGCTCTCTGCTCCTCCAGGGGCCACTTAATGCAGCAGGAAAAGTCACTGTGGTTGACAAATTGGAATGTGGGAAAATGCATGTTGTTAGTAGGTCAGGAGGAAAGTTACCGGGAAGAAAGCTGATGTCAGAGACAAGAAGTTTGTCGGGGTCGCAAAAAGGAGAAGGGACATCATAACTTCATTTAGATGTTTCCTTCCAGTGACTGCTCGGGGCGGACAGGATGTGAGGTCACATTCTGTGACAGCTGGCTAAGGTCTTCCTTGAGGCACCTTGTCTTGGCACTGACATTTTGATCTGGTCAGATGAAAACATTGGTCATTTGTAGTTAGGATGCTATTATGTCTTCGGCCACTGTGGTCTGAAACTGTCAGCTCTCAAAACCTCGCACCTCTGGCGAGTTTCCTGCTGAGTTGGAAAGAAAATGAATACAACTGGATAGCACTGTAGCTCATCTCCAATGCAATCCCCAGATGGAGTTCTCTTACGATAAAAGAGGACTGGGCAGTCACTGCACCAGAGGGCTGTGATGGCCAAAGCAAAACTGCTCCTTTTGGATGGGACAGAGCTCAGCCTGCGGTTGGGAGACCTGTGAACTTCCATCTCAACCACAAAGAGATGGGGTCTTTTCTGGAGAAAACGGGGGGCAATTGAGGTACTTGGCTTTCATTGTACATTTACACGTTTCTCAGAAGAATTTCTGTATAATATAGCCGGAGCTAAGCCTTGCTTTAAATAAGTAATGCATATTTTAGAAACTGCTCCAAATGTTCTCATCCATTTCACCAAGACTTCATTCTGTAAGCAGCATGTTTTGGAACCACATAAGAAACCTTTAAAAAAAGAAGTGTTGGTGTTTTAATTCATATTTTGACATTTTTGAAAATTTCTGCAGAGAGTAATTATGTATATGTTCCTGTTAAAACAGATACACAGTTTTGTGCTTCACATAGTAAAAGTAGTAATGAGGATCATCCTGACCAAAATAGAAAATATCTCTAGCAAAAGGCATTTGCATAATGAGAAGAACGAGTCTCTTCCAGCTCGCTCAGTGTGCCCTTGTGCTTTTCTGTACCATTTGTAAGAAGTTTATACCCATATGTTTTTATTTAATTTTTTTCCCTGCATTTACTGAACTCAATCATTTTCACTTCCTCTCAGGGAGGTCTGTAAGTGACAGGTAGAGTAGTGATGTCACAGTATGCGTGGGGAGCTCTCGCCTTGTACAGAGCACACCATTGTCTCAGAGCTTTGGAGAAATGCATTCAGGGATCTATCTGTTCTATTGCAAGAAGATGCCCAGACCATACATGGCACCTGGTTTCTAGCCTAATACATCACTTAGAGAGCAACTTTTGTATCCAGCCAGTCGTCACCAGTATAATTAAGTTCATTTGCTCTGTTTCTAACCTGTGTGAGACACAACAGTAAAACCAAGCATCATTCCTCTGCAATTAAATAATTGCTTGATACCATTTCATTGTTAAGCCTATAATGGGAGCTTCATTTGCAATTCCTCATCTTTTTCTTCTACTTTTTATTTTGATATATAGATTTGAATCAATGTCTTTTTCATTCATTGGGAGGTTTGGTTTTCTTTTGTTTGTTTTTGTTTCAGTTTGTTTTGTTTTTAAGGAAAATGAACTGAAATGTGTTCTCGTTTATTCTGTGACTGGAAATTGTAAATACTGGATGTTTTCCCAGGTTGTGGGCAGCCTGTAGACCCAGCTTCTGATTTTCATATCTCAGATGTGTTTTCAGATTTCACTAGTGACTGTCTTTACTTTCCAAATCATTTTATTTACAATCAATATGATGATTGCCATAGATTTATGGCTCTTTTCAAAGCTCCTGTTACATTGTCCACTATAGTTTTAGAGAGTTATGTTATTGGGAACATCTTTCCAATAAGAATATATAGAAATGGAATTGGTGGTAGAAGTTACTGTCTAACAGTGCATGTTTGTTAAAGGAAATACAGTTATTTATAAGGATCTCTGCTTGTAAAATAGATGGGCAGTAGGTAGAGTCTGTTTTACCCATCTGTACCAAGTGTCACACCAAAAGCATGGCAAGAGGCGATGATCCTTTGTGCCATCTGTAAGTGGGACTGCTCATGGACATGGAAAGAAATAGTCATAAACATAATGTGTCCCTTCTCTAGGATGGAGTTGGGTATTTTATAAATTTCCAAGCTTTTACCTTTGTTCAGTGAAGGTCCCATAAAGGACTGAAGACGTTCCTTCTGTGTAAGTTGAGCAGAGCAATTACAGTGCATGACACTAACATTAACCTACTTGGCTGTGTCCTTATATCTCAGAGGTTGGGCTATACCATGACCTCTTGGTACCTCAGACCTGTTAGGGCCACCACATTGCACCATTCTGGGGATCCCTTCAGAATTTTGGAAATTTTAGCTAGTGAGTTGCTTCTTTTTACATGTTTATCATTTGTATCTAGGTCATTCATAACTAGAATGCAACTAGTTCTCATTTTGTCATCCAGTAGTTTTATAAGCTGCAAAAATGAAACATAAATGAAGATGATAAATCATCCATAGGTTATTTTTTTGATATGAAAATACAAGTCCTTTTATGATTGGCACAGAATTATATGTAGTATACAGCCAGCGTTGTTTTTTTCCCTAATAGATGGTGATCAGTTTTCTAAGTCAATAAGAAAAGTTTGGAAATCCACAAGAGATCAGCCTACTTAATCAATAGTTATGTCAAGAAACAGAACCTGGCTCAAAGGGGACCAAATGGACACCCGTCAGTCACCCCCTTCTGCCTGGGGAAGCTCTGCTGTGATTCACTGACTGTCAGTAACACATCTCCATCTTGAGTATTTTATATGAGGAATCATATGCTATATGCTCTGAAACGTCTGACTTTTGCTAACTGGGATCCATCCAAGTCCTATTTCGCTTGTTATGGTTGCTACATATTGTTCAACTCTGTGCAGATAACACAGTATATGTCTCTCAGTCTTGGCCATTTTCAGGCTTTTGCTCTTTACAGTGAAGCTCCAAGTGGGTGCATTGGCGCCTCTGTGTACATGTTTTTGTGAATAGATTCAGTGAGTAGAATATCTGGGTGATACAGGTAATGCACGGGCTGGTCTCACATGCTTTTGAAAAGCTCCATAGACATACAACCCCAGCATGAGATGTAAACTGTAGATGTTCTGCTTCCTTCCCAGCATGTGTGATCACTCTCCAATTTCATCCCATCTTTTGGGCTGACACTGGGGTTTAGTGATATTTTAATTTTGTGCTTACCTGGGATGAGTCTGCACAATGTTTCTTGCTTAATGGTTATTGCGTTTTGTGAAGTACCTTCCCATTTGACTTTCAGAGTGTCTCTTCATATTGCTGTGCAGCTCTGCATGTAAGGTTGGAAGTCCCATTGTCAGACAGATGTACTGCAGTCATCTTCTCCACCTTGGTATTGGCTTTCTTGAACCCTTAATGGTATTTTGTGACCAATGCAAATTTCATTTTTCAATATAACTCATCGTTTCTGGCTTTCTTAACACCTTCATGCCTTTAAAATGTTTGGCACATTCCATGTTCATAAACTTGTGTTGCTAATTTTCATTTTAAAAAATCTTAAGCTTTCAGATCACAATATAGCTCTGGAATGCAACTAGAGCTAATTTCTTATACAATATTAAAAAATAATCAAAATTCACCTTTTCCAGGAATTTGCAGTTGATTAAAAAACATTGGCTAAGCTGCCCATCATGTCCTCTTCTTCTGCATTGAGATATCCTTTGTTGTAAATTAATTGACCATGTATGTGTTGGTCTGTTTCTGAACTAAGCTCTGGTTCATTGGCTTATTTGCATCATTTTGCCAACACTACACTGTCTTAATCACCACAATTTTATATAGCCATTTCTACCATCGAAGAGCAGCATTCCTCCAGTTCTGTTTTCCTTCTGTTCAATCATCCTGACTACACTGGGCATGTGTCACACCATGCACACCAGCACCAGAGAGGCTGAATTAGCCTGGGCTAAATAGAGAGATCCCGTCTGCAAAAAGAAAAAAGAAACAAAAGAAAAATACATCGTCCCTTCTCCATTTCTGATTAGCTTAAGTGCCTGTACACACACATGCACACGCGCGCGCGCACACACACACACACACACACACACACACACACACACACAAAACACAACTCATAGTGAGTTTAATTAGATCTGAGGTCATCCTGTTGTCTCACTTCATCTCAACTTCCATCTTTTACTTCATGAACATGGTATACTGTTCAGTTTAATTAGATTCTCTCTCTCTAATAATTTTGAGGAGTATGAGGCAGTTTCCCTGAGCCAACACTCCCACTACAGTGCTGAAATGGATGTAATGATAGAAAGCCATCTTGGTCTTATTCTTAATCTCAGAAGGAAATTTATTGATATAAGTTAATAATAAGTACTACTAATAATATAATATTACTATGATGTAGTTTTTTAAAGACCCTTAGTGGAGTGAGAAAATGCTACATTTCTAGGTTTCTGTGTGTTTATTTTTATAAGTGGGTAGTAAATTTTATAAAATATTACCCTGGTTCTAGTGGGACAATTATTATCCTCCTGTATTCTATTAATGTGGGAACTTTTATTATAGTTATCCTTATGGAAATGTGTTGCTTGAGTATATCATTA